CGCCGGGGTATCCACCACGTCCGCGACCACCACCAGGGTATCCCCCGCGGCCGCCACCGGGATATCCGCCTCTACCACGACCGCCGCCAGGGTAGCCACCACCACCGCGGCCACCACCAGGGTAGCCGCCACCACCACCACCAGGGTATCCACCACCACCACCGGGGTATCCACCGCCACCGCCAGGGTATCCACCGCCACCGCCGGGGTATCCGCCACCAAATTGGTCTTCATGTACTACATTCTTGTTATTGGATTTCTTTGCTGTATCAATTGTGTAAACAAGAATGTTATGCCATTAACCTATTTTAAAAATTTGTGATCTCGAATATGTGATGACATTTTTATGATTATAAAAACATACGTTCTTACGGGTAAAATATATATGTACCTTAAATAATATTATAATAAGTACGTTTATGTTTCAAAGAAAATATTTTCTAATAAATTATTTTTCACCGAAAACATTTTCCTTGGTACCAAACACAACCACAAAAGGAACAAATAATGAGAGGATTCTTACACTTCTCTTCTGAAGTCTCACTCAACTCTTTAGCTACAACCTCAGAGCTTATCATTACATAAATGGCCAAAAAAAGGCCAAGGAACATAAATGTCTTAGAACCCATTTTACCCACTAAACTTACTATGATACTTGAAATTATAGGATGGTGAAGCTTATGTATAGTTGGTCTCTATATATAGTAAGATTTGAATGTATTACAAATGGTAGGGAAAGAACATTATTTGGAGGTGTGAGAGGTGCATTTATGGGATGTGCTTTTGGCAGGTGAAGAAGGTAAAGAATTCACAATTATTGGGCTCATTATATATATCGTTAGTTTAAAAGTAATTTATATAATCACATCATATGTGTTTGAGCCTCAACCGTATAAAACTTAAAACATTTTGTTTGAATTTTAGTTTCATCAAGCCTAACTTCAAACCCTACATGTTTGAAATTATTCTAAAAAATGGATAGACTTTGCAAATTTTTTATGTAGTACGCCTGGAAATGATAATCTCAAAATCGGATATTTGCGCACTTCGACCCTCTAGCCAGGCTTGCCAAATTGCAAATTAGCTAACTTTTATTCTAAGATTAATTTTTGTTAACCACTAATCTCAAAAATTCCTCTAAATATTTTGTACACATCATTATAAGATCTCCAAAATCCTTTTGGCAACAAATTAGTAGACGACGGCTCTTGTGGGGAAATTGTACATTAAATGTTGATGTATTGTCAGATTATTATGCAATAATTAAATAAAATATTTGCTCAACTTGTAGGACAAACCTTATCCTGAAAATCTTGATAGAAAACATTTAAGTTATATGTACTGATAACGTAATGATTTTTAAAATTATCAAGTTAATTTAATGTGACTTATATGTGAAACTTAAATCATGACTTTTCTCGTAAAAATATGAAAAATAAATTTTATAAATGACATAAAATCTTGATTGTCCTCTCTCCACCGTTGCATCCCCTTGCCCACTCACATCGACCCCGGCTCCCAAAAAGCCCACTTCCACCCCCCACCCTCCATACGCACACGATGAGTCCATTTTACCTCCATCCTTGTATTATCGAACTATATATATAAATATTATTGAAATAATATTTTTCAATCTAAAAAATTATATAAAATGCTTTTTTACCTACTAAATACACTATTAATGTAAAGTTGAATAAAAGAAAAATAGGACAAAGTGAATAGATAATAGATAGAGTTTGGAAGAGTATATAACAGCGACTAATTAAATGCCATGTTATTGTTGCTATTTATTGTTCGATAAATTAAAGGTGAATGACTTATTAGTTGACTTATTAATAATTCCAAGTGGCAAAATGTCAATCACTCACTAATCAATTAAGTTGACTAGGTCTTCTTAGACCTCCTCCCGCCCACACCCCACACCCAACCACCCTCCATTACTGCTCAAACTACCAAATGAATCACTTGAAAATTTTAAATTTAAAAATTATATCATAATTTTTTAAAGTAAAATTTTAACTTGGTATATTATTTATGGATATTTAAAACAAGTATCATAAAATATTATAGCTAATACAGACGTAAATAGTAGCTTCTATATCTTCACAACCCTCCATTAATCTTTATTCATAATTTCAAATCGATTAAATGTCATAATCATGATAATCTCTTATATATTATGTAATTTTTCTTTATAAATAAAGTTCGTGGCAATCTTTTATAGTACGTAGGTGCATGCGGTTTCTAGTCCACAAATTAAAGCATAAGTGACAATAACTAACAATAATGCATCATAACATGTCAAAATGTCACTTGTCAGTTGACTTATCAATATTATTCAGTCTTGCTTTCACACTAAGCATCCAAATATATTTGTTTCTCTAAAAAAATAATTTTTTTTTTTTATTAATGAGGAAAATGATTTCTCCAATAAAAAATCGAAAGTATAGATAAAATAAGTTCTGCAGGTGATATTCCAAATTATTGATAATGTCCTTTCCATCCTCCTACACAGTATATTTCATCTTGATCCCTACCTTCCCTAACCCCTACCTCTCTTGTTATAATAGTTATTCTAATTATATATAAATGATTTTGAGATTATACTTTTTGCCTACATATAAAAAACATAAAAATAAATAAAACACTATAAGAAAAGTGTGAATTCCACGAGGATTTTTCTGGGGATTAATATGAAAATTTACAAGAAAATAAGTTTCCTGCAGATTCTCATACTAATTTCCAGGAAAATTTCTATGTAATTCACACTTTTTTTGTGGCGTAAAATTCACTTATTTTTTCAAAAAACCTATTTGTAAATATATCACATAAATATGACCAAGTGGCTTACGTACATCGACCGACAAAACAAACTAAAAACAAAGATTAATAGTAGATAATCAAACAACATTAAAATAACTTTAAAAAATAATATGCATGTGATGGATATATATTATATATTTCGATAATAAATCGTCGTGTTAATAGTATATTTTTGGATAGTTATGCAAAAAAGTAATTTAAAATATGCTAACTTGTAGGACTACCTTATCCTAAAATATCTAGAAATAGTGGTGTATATATACTCTTGGATTTGGTCAATACTCAAAGACTTAAATGACGTATTTAATGACTCTTTTAATGTACAACGTATCAAGTTAAATACGAGGGGCCAACTCTCTTCATTTGCTTTATAACTCAAGAAAAGTCTTCTAAACAAAGTATAATACATGAAAATGTTGTTTTATTTTGACCTTAATTGATATTTATAACCTTTAATTTTAGATGTGTAATGGACCTAATGGTAGACACGTAAGTTTATATATAATTGAACAAGTAGACACACATGTCCTACATGATAATTTGTGTCGTACATGGTGTCCTATGTGTATTATGTCACAGAGGACTAGTGTGTCTCCTTGCTCAACTTTATACAAGTTTAAGTCCTTACTTGTGCACATCCATTGGAAGTCTCAGCTGCCAACTCCCTAGCTGCAACCTCAGAGCTTATCATTAAGAAAATAGCCAAAAAAAGACCAAGAAACATAATTGCCTTGGAACCCATTCTTTTTAATTTTCTTTTGTTCAAAAACTTAGTACTTATGAAATATGAAAATTGAGGGATGAAGAAACTAATGCATTTTTGGGCTCTATTTATAATAAAATTTGAATGCATAAATAATTAGAGGTGTGAGGGGACACAATACGGATTGCAATTATTTTATGGACCAAAGAAATGAACTTGCTCTACAAGTGGTAGATAAATAGAGTGTTGATTTTATGGTGGTGTCGTAAGTAATATTTTGTTAAGATGAAAAAAACATAATATTTATAAATTGTATCTGTTTGTATTTTACAATCTTAAATATTCAAAATAGTCAAATTAAAAGTTAAAAGTATCAAAACACCATTAGTAAAAGTAGAGAGGCACAAGTACATACGTTAATACTATAACACCATTAGTAAAAGTAGAATGATCAAAGTTCGGATATATTTCAAACTTTTTTTCCTATAAAAAAACATAAGAATAGATAAAAATTTACTTATTTTTTCGAAAAAATATTTGTAAATATCACATTAATATGACCAAGTGGCTTACGTACACCGACCGACAAAACAAACTAAAAACAAAGATTTATACTTAGTAGATAATCAAACAACATTAAAATAACTTTGAAAAATAATATGCATGTGATGGGTATTATATATTTCGATAATAAATCGTCGTGTTAATGGTATATTTTTGGATAGTTATGCAAAAAAGTAATTAAAAATATGCTAACTTGTAGGACTACCTTATCCTAAAATATCTAGAAATAGTGGTGTATATATACTCTTGGATTTGGTCAATACTCAAAGACTTAAAATGACGTATTTAATGACTCTTTTAATGTACAACGTATCAAGTTAAATAAGAGGGGCCAACTCTCTTCATTTGCTTTATAACTCAAGAAAAGTCTTCTAAAAAACAAGTATAATACATGAAAATATTATTTTATTTTGACCTTAATCGATATTTATAACCTTTAATTTTGAATGTGTAAACACTTAAGTTTATATATAATAGAACAAGTAGACACTAGGGGTGTACAAAACCGAACCGAGAACCGAACCAAACCGCAAACCGAGTCAACCCGAAAAAAAAACCCGACTAGTGGTTTGGTTTGACTTGGTTTGGTTTTGAAAAAAAAAACCCGACTATATTTGGGTTGGTTTGGTTTTAACTAAAAAAAACCAACCCGAGACCAAACCAACCCGAATTTATATATATAATTTTAAAATTTTATTTTATACATAAAAATATTTACTTTGATATAATTTTAAAATATTTCTTATACTTTTCCATAGTTTTTAATATTTAATATATTATTTCAAGTTTGAAACTTAGAATTATGAATGGGCCAATAAAGATTATAGTCCACATATGTTGGTAATTATAATAAAGCTTAAATCAAAATCAAATTAATACTAATGCAAAAAGAAAATCAATTCAACACTAAGAATGACAATAATATTGAATATTTGTTCTTTAGTTTTACATTGGTTTAGACAATTAAAATACATAATCTAATTTTAATTTTCTTTAATATTTAGTCATGTAACTAATACTTATTAAACTTAATTTTAGCATGATTTAGTACTTTTAAATTATGATCATTTTCATTATGACTTGTTAATTTGCAATATTTGTTTTACGCGATTTCATTATTATTATTTTT